ACACACACACATGCTCCTATGAAGTCCAGATTTCAACACATTTCTGTCTTGGTGAAAAGGAGATGCTAGAATATCAGTACAGTTTATTTTTCTGAATCCTTGTTTACATTGCATGCCTGCTTGCAGTGCAAAGCACCACTTCAGTGGTGTCTGACTCTTTGTGACCCCATGGACTGTAGCCCACCCAGCTCCTCTGTCCATGGGGTTCTCCAGGCAAGAATACTGGAGTGGGCTGCCATTTCCTCCTCCAGGGCTCATTTACCTTATCAGTAGAAAATGTAAAACCCTGGAGTCATCCTAGGCTATTTCCTCAGCACCGATTCCCCATAAACCAGTTGACCACTGAGTTATATCAATTTTACCTGCTAAATATCTCCAAAATCCATTTCCTTCCTCCAGCCTCACTGGCATTGTTTTGCTTTTTTTTTTTTTTTTACATTGTTCCATTCCAAAAATACTTCCTGAATGTCTGCTCTAGGACAATGCCATACTCAGCACTGAGGACACGATGTTGAATAAGATTCAGTCTGTCTTCAAGAAAGATATGTGAGCAAATAGAAAATTACAATGTGATGTGGTAAAAAGCTATGCTTTGCAAGAGACCTATAACCCAGCCTGAGAGTCAGGGCTGGAAGGATGGATCATAGAAGGCTTTCTGGAAGAGGCAACACCTGAGGTGAGTCTTAAAGGCTAAATTATCTAAAACTTCATCCCTTAGTGCCATGTGTCCTGACCCCCACTCCACTGCACCTTCTCCATAACCCCATTATTGCTTATATTTCACCATCTGATTATTTATCTATCTGCATTCCTAAGTCCTAAATTGCTAAAAAGCAATTATGAGTTTTACTGATGCTTATAACCCCATTCATGACCACGAGGCTAGCAGACAGTATGCATTTGATGAATTGATTGGTTTTCATTTTAGTGAACAACTCTCAGCCCTAGAGAAGGATACGATTCTCCTGACTTCTTAGGATGGGTGGTAACTCATAGCACAGTTCTGCAAGTACTTTTTAGAGTTTCTGCCGCTCCTTCTACTCAGCTTTCACTTTTTGTTCCTGGCACTGTGTGCACATCTGACCTCTCCAGAAGCCTCCCTAACAGTGACTCCCATAGCTTCCCTGTCTGGGAAGCCGTGTGGACCACAGCTACCTGGACAGAGACTGTGCTCCCTGAGGGTCGACAGGGTCAGGACCAGGGCTGTGCCACCTTCTAGCATCCCCTGTGGGGAGCCACAGTCATCGGCCCCGTGGAATGACTGACTGGGTGAGTGTGCTTTCGTACCTCCGTCTCTGGAAACAATGACAGGAGCTCTGAAACCAGCTTGAAATCTAAACATCGTGGCTTGACTTTTTCTAAACTGGTCTCTGTGGGTAGGTTAAAATGATCATGTTCGAATTTCCAACTATTTTTCTAAGTTGGACCAGAATGAGGCAGTGGAAATTCATTAAAATGCAGTGTTTCCCAGTGTCTGAGACACGCTCCGCCTGGGGTTAGGAAAGTGATTCTACAAGGTACACAAGTGAGCATGTTTTAGTTGAGACTATCTTTGCTTCAGTTTAATGACCTGTGTTAAAAGTCATATATTTATTTACAGCCACCTGTGAGTTGGGGCGAGTAAAAGAGTGCGTTGATTTCAACTCCTTGTTGATGTAAATAATAACACAGATGCTCTTAGAGGACTCAGGTAGAGAAGCACTGTTCTATCACAGGCTTCAAATTTCACACCAACCAGTGACAATCCTTGCAACAGATATGCCAGAGCTGAAAGAAACCTTGGAAGTTATCTGCTCCAATGTACTACTTTATTCACTTATTCACTCAACAAATATATATCTGGCACTTACCGTTTAAAAGGATCTGGGTAGAACTGCAGTGAATCAGAGAGGGACAGTCTAGTAGGAGAAACATACTAAATCTCAGAGGAATTATGCTTAAGACAGGTTCTGTAAAGCAGTAAAAAGTATATGAAACCATTAATGGAAGGATGATATCTGAATGAAATCTTAAAGGAGTAGGAGAAATGAAGCAGGCAGAGCAAGGCTTGAGGGCGGTATTGGGGACAGGTTGGGGAAGAGAAGAGTGTGTGAGGTCCTTTGAGGGCGTGTATCTGGCATAAAGGAAGACCTCAGTCCCTCTCTGGGTGGATATCTGTACTGATCTCCCATGGTAGCTAACTTCACTCAGGATTCACCAGAAACACAGGCCCAGGAAGTGAATTGACCTGACATTAACCACACCTCCTGAGAGAAGCAGGGTGCAGGCCTCGGTCTGTTCTCTCAAGAGTTCACACATTCGCCTTATGCTGATGTAGTGTCCTGCATTTAGACCCCGTTCTGGGTGCTGGAGACCCTCCAGGGAACAGAACAGACAGAGGTCCTGCCCCCACAGAGCCTGTATTCTGACATGGTGGAGAGTCAGTGAGTAAACAAGTCAAGCCAAGCACATCAGTGAGAGAGAAGTGGTTTAGAGGAAGGTGGGGAGGGAGGGGGTTGGTGCTTTGGATGGATGGCCCTCTGAGGATGCATGCAGAGACTTGAAGGAAGTTGGGACAGATCGGATCTCTTGGTCTCACTGAGGGCTTGTTTTTACCACTCCAGGCTATGTGGTATTATTCAGGCTCTTTCCGCTCTCCCTGTTGCTAAGAGCAGAGTCAAACCCTTAGCTCTAATTATATGCTGCCAGACAAAACATTTTAATAGGAAATGTAGTCTCCTCGGTGTTATCCAGGAGGGATCTGCCAGAAGGAATCTTCCCCTAGGAATGCTAACTTGCTTGGGGATTCTAGAGCATCCTGTGGGCATTTGGGGTATGCAACTCTTTCCCAGTATGCAACCATCACTGGTTCTGGTCAAGTCCAGAGTGGGACCTGTAATCAGAGGGAAACTTTTGCCCTGAGCCCACAGTGACATACCCAATGCTGCTTCCTCCCTGGGTACCAGGACAGCAGCTGCTCTCTGCTTAACTGCCTTTTCAAAATACTAGTCTTTACTCAACCACACTAAAAACCATGCTTTCCCCTTTGGTATTTGAAAAAAAGCCTTTGGTATTTGTGATTAGACACCAGCACAACGATATTGCTTTCTTGTTCAGTGATGAAGTTTAAAATCCTACAGTGCTTCTGAGTTTAGCAGCTTTTTAACTGTTCTAGGCGAACAAAAGAATTTAAGAGACAAAAATATCGAATTCATCAACAGGGAAAGGACACATGTCTACTTGTGGCTAATTGACATCACTGTACAACAACAACTGATATGACATTGTAAAGCAATTATCCTCCAATTAAAAATAATTTTAAAACAACTTTGAATTCAGTTACTCCAAAGTATTAGAACAATGGTGAAATTTTATCCCGAAGGACCTAAAGTTGCCTGATTGGCAAATGTGAATATTTCACATCCCCTCTAATACCTGGAGTTCCAAAGTAATGTAACAGCCTAAGAATGGTAGCCAAGACGGGAGACTCCCGGCTCCGTGGAAGCAAAGCACAAATTCAGCTGTGAGGGTGCCCGTCCCCAGAAAACACTGCAGGCCTGAAAGTGAGCCAATGAGAGGCCATGGGTGGTTCACCACTTCGTCTCGGGTCCATGGGAAAGCCAGGGGGCAGATTCCTGACCCAAGATGCCAGCTCCTCCAAATATTGCTCAACAAGGAAGGCTGCCCCATTACTGATGGCCTCGAAGCCTGCCCTGGGAAGCCCTAAGTCAACAGCACGAAATGAAGGCAGAGTCCCCCAGGCTCCCCACCCCCAAACCCCTCCACTCACCACAGCTTTCCCTGCCTGTGGGCCTGTCTAATAATGAGACCCCAGTGGGATAAGACGTGGGGGCACAGTGTGTTGATGGGGAAGGCAGGAAGGAGAAAGGGCAAGAAACAAAGGGATACTTTCGGAATATGAAAGAGAAGGTAGTCCCCAGTGGATAGATAAATGACTATGTGATTGAAGAGACTGGATGGTGAGAAAACAAGAGAAGAGATGCCAAGGATGAAAACCACAGAGGCCTTCAGGACACCCTGTCTATTCCTACCACAAAACACCAAGTCCCAGGGTTGTCTGTGTGCAGCAGAGACAGAATGGATGCTTTGTGGAAGCGAATTAGCCATCACACAAATCACTCTCTGAAACTGCCCATGATTACTCTGCTGAAGCAGGGTCCGTTTGATGCAAAACAATAGTCAGGCTGCATGACTCATTCAACTGAAGCGCTGGCTGTATGGGTAAGGTTTTTAGATAGTATGGCAAGTTTCCTGTGGTAGAATCTGAACTGCATTCAGACTTCTATTTGGCCTCTAATAACATTCTTAATTGCATGGCACCTGGAAGGAACATAGTCAAGCTTTAGCATCATTTCCACTTAGTTCCTTGTAGTCTATGCAGCTTGAGTTATCTGTCAAACGTGTGTCTACTAAACCATTCCAAGCAGTTAGTTTACATGTGCAACCGTTTGATCTGATCTGATAGTTACCCATTGTACTGAATGAAATTCTAGCATACTGTCTTAGAAAGGATATCCAGGACAAAGAAACACAACTTATTTCATTAAAATCAAAATCTGCTAGGGGCTAAGTTCACACTGGGCATAATTAATTATCATCAAGCCCTACACTATTCTATGCTTACTCCTTAAGTAGACAATAATTATATACATGCCATCTATGTAAGTCTCATTATATTGTATCCCAGAAATCTGTCGTTTTCTTTGAGTAAATATTACATGATTTAATTCTGGTTGTACACTTTTAGATTAAACTCATACAATGCACTTGGGAATGACAAAACATATTCAAAATGAAAGCATTCTTTGAAAATACAGAAAATGTGCATATTAATGATAACTTATCTCCAAAATGTTATTGCATTAAATTCCTCTAGACATCTAACTTGCTGTTAGCACTATGTACAAAATATTTAAAAGGAAATACACTGCTGTAAATTGATCTCTGGTTGTGCTCATTATATTTCAAAATAATAAATCAATCCCACTTGGCTCCTTGAATTACTTAATACTTTCCAAGAGTTGTTTAATCCAGGAAAGAAGAATATCCAGTTCACTGATGGCTTTGTAGATTCCTTTCTTTCCAATCTGCAGATAAAGTAGAAATATTAGAAGCAGAAATATTTCATATCTTAAAAAAAAAAGTACCCAAAGACAAGAATTTGGTATACTTACCTCATAGAATGTTCTTTTCATCCTGGTAATGGATTTCATCTCTCTAGCTGATGAAGCACAGGAAATCTAAGAAATTAGCAGTAAATACAGAAATATTGCTGAAGAAGTTCCAGTAGTCACTCTTCCATCCACTCAACCAACAATTTTGAGCATGTTGTGGGCATGAAATACACTGGCAAGTAAATAATACGCTGGCCTCTGTCCTAACAAAGTTTACAGTTTCATGAGGGAGAATAATGATAAATTTTAAAAAAAAGAAAAATTAAAATTTACAAACTGCAACTAAAACTGTGTTTGTAATTCATGACTCTATGATAGGGATCTACAGAAATGACCCTCTTTCAACTGGATAGTCAGAGAGGGTTCTTTTGAGGAATGACACTTAAATTAAGGCCTGAACAGGGGGGAGGCAGCAGGTATATGAGGAAGTGAAGAAAGAAAAGGGGGATTTGGAAAGGATACACAGGTGGAATAATAATACACAGGGAACCTGAGTGAAAGGTGGGCAAATGTCCTGAGGCAAGAAAGATTACGCCTTCCAGAAACTTAAAGAAACCATGGCTGGAGCAAGAGAGATGCTGGAAACACAAGAGCTGTGGGAGTGATGAGAAAAAAATTTTACTTTTTGAAAAATCGCTCTGGCTGTTTGAAATATTGCATAGTACAATATTCAGATGTTGATTCCCAGGAGAATGCACCAGGAAATGAATATTAGTTTCTAAACTGGAAGAAGAGTAAGCTAGTGTCTTGAGAAGACAGCCTGTAGCCTGACTTGGGGTGGGGAGAGATTGGTAAATGCTGGTCTCCTTTGAGGAGGTGAGTTTTCAAATCTGAGCATGATTATCACTTAGAAGTCATGGAGGAAGAAATTCTCCACCTTCCTTTCCTCAGCTTTTTTTCTCCCACAGATTCCCATAGGGAAGACCTTGCATAGGAAGGTAAAAATTCTTCCTGTGAAAGAGGCTTTTGTGATGAGGCATGGAAGAGCTGCACACAGAATGTGAAGGTTCCCTCTGCAGGACTCACAAGCATAAGAGCCATGAATTTAGGGGACGTTTCCTCCCACACCAGATCCTGTGAGGCCAAAACAAGGTGGAACCGATCCAAGACAGTGGTAGCCAGAATCAGCGCATACAGTCAGGAAGAATTCATTTCTTCGTTAAACAAGCATTCATGAAGTGCCTACTAACTGTCAGATCATGTGTCAGGCACTAAAGACATAATAATGAGCAAAACAGAGCTAGCAAATAGGATAGTGGTAGATGGGAAAATCAATAGAATACAAGATCAATAATAGAAGATAAAACTCTAGCAGTTCTTCTTTATCCCAATTTCCCTTCATGTGAAGATTGTTAGATAAAAAATAATAGTAGTCAACATGTATTTTGTTAGCATTCTGTGTCAGGCACTAATATGAAGGCTTTGGTTATATTAACTCATTCAGTCCTCAAAACAACCTTATGAGGTAGGTACTATTATCACCCCCATTTTACAGGTTAGAAAACCGAAGCATTGAAGTTAACATTCTGTCAATGTTCACATAGTATTAATAAGTGGAAGAGCTGAGATCCAAACCCAGGTATTTTGACTCCAGAGTATGTATTTAAAAGCCACTATATTACACTATTTATACACTATATATACACTATTATACTATTTTTTTATATTTAAAAAAACTGTATAACTTGGAAAAGATATTCCAGCGAAGCCTTTCTCCTGTTGAAAATCTTAAATATCCAGTTCCAAAGAAAGCTTAGGTCAAAGATTCCTACTCTGTATTATCCCGGGGGAAATACTGGGAATGCCTCTAAAAGCCTAAGCTAACTGACAGAGAAAGACACAGAGAGAGAGAGACTGCACAGTGTGGTAATGAACAAAAGACGAAACCCTGTGTGTGTGTGTGTTTTTGTGTGTGTGTTTGTGTGTTTGCATGTGTGTTTGTGTGTGTTTATGTGTGTGTGTTTATGTGTGTTTGTGTGTGTTTATGTGTTTGTGTGTGTGTGTTTACGTGTGTGTGTTTATGTGTGTGTGTTTATGTGTGTGTGTTTGTGTGTGTTTGCGTGTTTGTGTGTGTGTTTGTGTGTGTGTTTGCATGTTTGTGTGTGTGTTTATGTGTGTGTGTGTCTGTGTGTGTGTGTGTTTGTGTGTGTGTTTGTGTGTGTGGGTATTTGTGTGTGTTTGTGTGTGTGTTTATGTGTGTGTTTGCATGTGTGTGTGTTTGTGTGTGTTTATGTGTGTTTGTGTGTGTGTTTATGTGTGTGTTTGTTTGTGTGTGTGTTTGCATGTTTGTGTGTGTGTTTATGTGTGTGTGTCTTTGTATGTGTTTGTGTTCGTGTGTGTTTGAGTGTGTGTTTGTGCGTGTGTATTTGTGTGGGTATTTGTGTGTGTGTGTTTGTGTGTGTGTTTGCATGTGTGTGTGTTTGTGTTTGTGTGTTTATGTGTTTATGTGTGTGTGTTTGTGTGTGTGTGTGTGTGTGTGTTTTGCTCCCTTTGTTCATTTGTTCTCCAGACTGGAACTGCAAAAGTAAATTCTAGAAATACTGACTCTAGTTCCAGCCAGGAGAGTGGTTCTGGAAATAATTATTATAGAGAAGACTGCCTATTACTTTTTAAATGGAGAATCTGGCTAGATGCTAAAGCCGTCCAGTCAGAAATTATCTAGTATAAATGTAGTTGGCCCAAACATTGCAACTGGAAGAGAGGACTTCATGAGGATAATCAATACTTGCCAATTCCAATATATCCGAAGTTCTTAGATGCAAAGATCAGTCACAAGGCGCTGAATGAGCAAGTCATAGGGCACAATATCAAATATGCCTGGGTCAGGATTTAAAACTGTAACACTAGAATCCACCTGCCAATGCAGGAAACAGGGGGTTGATCTCTGGTCCAGGAAGATCCACATGCCACAGAGCAACTAAGCCCCTGCGCCACAAACCCTGAGCCCTGCGCTCTAGAATCCGAGCACCGCAACTGCCGAGCCCCGCGCTCCAGAGCCTGGGGACCGCAATGCCGAGCCCCGCGCTCCAGAGCCTGGGGACCGCAATGCTGAGCCCCGCGCTCCAGAGCCCGGGGACTGCAACCTCTGAAGCATGCGCACCCTACAGCCCTTGCTCGGCAACTAGAGAGTAGCCCCCACTTGCCACAACTAGAGAAAAAACCATGCAGTAATGAAGACTCAGCACAGCCAAAAATAATAAGTATTGGGGAAAAAAAAAAAAGATTTAACACCGAAAATGCGAGACCGAAGAAGCCAACCAAATGCTGGGCATTAGAGAAATTAAATGTCATTAAGGCATTCCTTGATGACGAGGCCCTCTCCCCAGACAGCTTGGGCCTACGGGGCCTCCCATAGTAGGGTAGGGATTACAAGAAAGGTTTGTGACTTCACTCCATCTAAGGCACATGCTACCCTAAGAAGAACAAAGAGAGTAGAAGGGGAGAAAAACAAGGTTTGGCAAAAAATAAAAACCCATCACTTAATAGTGGCACTGTTTCCTCTAGAGCTCTGTAGGTTTATGGGATTCTTTCTGGTGCCTTGAGCTCTGTTTACTATAAATGACGCCTAGTAAATGCAAGAGGTTTTCACTTTCCTCACTGTTATAAACATGTCTATAGACCCAGTAGGATAGCCTGATTTTACTGCTAATTCAGATTTCTTTGCTTGGAAGGAGGGATTCCTTTTACCTTGTATTTCAAGGTATAGTTCCATTTGCATAAAACAGCATGCAAAATGAAAGGGCAGCAGTTTTGTTCTAAGAACGGCTGCATGATTTGACAGACTCAGGCAAAGCAGTTATGACCTGGATGAGAGGCAATTTATTAGTAGGGCTGGAATAACCAGAGATTGGCTCAAAAACAAAAAATAATGTGTGTGTGATAGTCACGGAATAACACAACACAAGGCAACAGCCTAATCATTCACCATTAAGTCAATGGATGTTTACTGCATACTTACTATATGCTAGGCGTATAATCGTGTCTCTGACCACATAGCATTGATTTTACTTAATTTATAAAAGTGCCCAACATGCTGAAAACAGCCTTGGGGCACAAGCAATGGCCCGTAATTGTCAGACACAGCAAAGGAAAATCACAATACTACGTGATACTATTGTGATTTAAAAACAAAACCCGTTCTGAGGACACAGCAGAGGCCATCCAACTGTGGGACCCCAGAAGGCTTCCAGAAGGAAAAAACAAGAGCGTTGCATCTTAAAGGGTGACTAGAATGGAATGGAAGAAACAGAATGGGTGAGTAGGCAGAGGAAGCCCGATGCTCAAAGGTTGGAGAGAACAGAGATTATGTATTTATTTGTTATTATTGTTATTATTTTGGGGGCCACAGTTGGCAGCATGTGGGATCCTAGCTCCCTAACCAGGGATCGAACCTGTGCTGCCCGCATTAGGACTGCGGAGTCTTCAGCACTGGGCAACCAGGGAAGTCCAACAGTGATAATGCAAACACCCTTCTGGTCTCAGATTCAGTTACCTGTGATTCGGCCCCCAACCTCCAGCCCTCAGCATCCTCTTGTTTGCTCCCTTCATGGCACCTATCAAAATCCGAGAGTTGCTGAAACTGACTGAGGGCATTCTCAAAAGAATTCTGTACAGAAAGAGATATTATCTATCAATTTTTGTTGAATTTCCAGCATCTGGAATAGTGTTCAGCAACACTAGATACCCAGTGCTTATTTAATGAATGAATCAATGAATGAAATGCAGGCATCAGCTTAGAGCTTTGGGGTTCACAAAGCCCACTGGTTTAATATTAATAGTAGTCTGAAGTATATACTGGGCATTAGTGAGCTCTGTTTAAAAGAATTTCATGAAAAAATAAATGTAATCCTTAAATCTGAATCCCCAGTATCCACAACATGTTTGAAAAATCATGAGAATATGTATTGTGTATTATATACACTAAAGCAAAACTGAATAATCCCTCTCCACTGATAATTCTGAGGAAATGAAATAGCTTGACCAGGGAGCAGACAGCTGTACATGTCATAGTCTCTCACCCTGTACTCTCACAAATAATGAACTCAAATTCTTCCTACAAAAGGAGT